TGGGGTTTTTGGAAAATCGACAAAGCTAAGGTGGGGCTATCTTGCAAAATGAACCGGGCCGTTGGAGCCGGGGCGGTAAAAGGGATAGCAGCAACCCAGAGGGAAGAAGTAAAAGAGAGAGGGGCGGGCTTCTTTTTTCCTTTCTTGTCTTCTGATGGTGTGGATGGGTGAGGGTAAGAGACGGATGGCGCGAGAGAGAGAGAAGTAAAAAAAGAAAAGACAAGCCACACACACGCGGTCTCTGACACTCACACCCCTGGATCCTGTCCGAGGATAACAAGAGAGCCAGTAAGTGAGGCTTTTTTCTGTGAAGGGAGGCGGGGGAGGGAGAAAGCGCGTGAATAACAAAGCGATAAGCGCAACGGAGAAATGGATGGAGTAAACAGTATAAAAGACAAACAGAAAGGAAAAAGAAATAATAGTACAAGGTTAGGTGAGCAAAAGGGGAGAAAAATCAGGAACAAGCCGTTATAGAAAGCTCTAGCAAGATGGAGTCACGGAACAACAAGGAAAGGCGATGAGGAAGTGAGAGGATGAGGAGGAGCGCGTATTATTTCATCAATACCCAATGACAATTGCCAGAAAATGGACACAACGAGGGACAAGCGATCAGCAGACGCAAGATTGCGATGGAGGAGCTAAAATGGTAAATGGAGCAGGGAAGAAACAATTCCTTATCCACCAGATGAATGATGGATGGCTGGACTGCTTTTTCGCGCTTCACACAGTCAATCTGGTGGAGGGGGGGAAGAAAGAAGAAAGAGGAAAGGGTAGTGAGAATAGTGAGAAGATTCGAGCTCCGCGGCGTAACTTGAAAGTTACGGAAAGGTCAAAGTTTGCGCAAGTCAGTACCGGCACCATACCTGATCGGGGTGTTTTAGTGCTTCAGCAGGTCCAGCCATGCGGTGTGACTGGCTGGATCGGACCCCAGCGGCGGGTCATGGCGCACCTGGATTTTTTTCTCTTCTGGAACTGGCCGTAATTGGCATCGGTATCAATTAGTCAAGCCCGACTACTTTTGTACGAACTAGTCAAGTAGACTACACAGTAAACCAAATAACGTTAAAGACCCCTCTAAGAATATCCCTGGGCCCATGATCCCATCTTGCCATCATCGGGGCCAGATCCTTGTTGACCTGCTCCGACGGAATTCTTCCGTCTGTGGTAACTACACAAATAATACTACTAGTAACTAGCTTGGGCTAAGACTCGGAACACTTGGAAGTCAACTGACTGGCTTGTTGTTTGAAAGGCCACCTGGTGTCGGTATCGGAACCATTACTTTACCATCTCAGCCGGGTTACCGTTTGACAACCAGCGGTGACCCAACCTATCTATCTATCTAGTACTCTTTAGTCTGAAGAAACTAAAACATCCATCTTTGATTATTGATCAAGCTACTATCTCACTAAGGACTATTGCAACCGAGGCCGACCGCTACTACTGGAATTGGTGTCTACCCTACCCGTCGACGAACCGTCAGCCCGACCCTGCCGGCCACCCTACTTTTAAATTACCTGACCACTAACAAACGGGTCCTTGGTGAAAGTAACTCCGTCATATCCGTACTAAGAGCTAAGGACTTTACTCTAGCTCGGCTTCTGGAAGATCCTCGTGCTTGTTACTCGTTAGCATACCCATCCTTAATTCAATGTCCCTGTTCCTATCGGTCCTACCTGCAGCTGCGCGGCACCTCCCTTCCCCGCGCGCTGCTACTGCTACTACTACTGCTACTACTACTGCTACTACTACTGCTACTACTACTGCTACTACTACTGCTACTGCTACTGCTGCGAACATGTTACGAGCGAATCATGTAAGCCGTGGATTAGAATCCATCATGGCACATGCCCGGCTTTCCCTCCCCCGTAATTTTCACCGCGTTTCCCTCGCTTGCTATTATCCCCCTTCCTCCCGCCCCACTGTCGCAACACGAACCTTTGCGTCCAGGCGAGCCGCCGCCATCTCGACACCTTCGGGCCTAGATTCGGACCACCACCTGTCGGCGGCTAGAGAATGGGCCGCTAGGCTCAATTCAAAGGCCATCACCATCCCGCGTGACATCTGCGAGATTTCCTTTAGTCGTTCTAGTGGCCCTGGAGGTCAAAACGTGAACAAGTCGGTTGCCGCCATCGGTCTGAACCAACCACTCCCATTGATTGGTGACTAACATGTATCTGTCAATGCTACTTCGTATAGGGTGAACTCGAAAGCCACATTACGAGTCCCCCTCAAATCTTTACTGCCTTTCGTCCCCCAACTTCTACATGCCCCGCTGCAAGCGTCTCGATACGTCGCCGCGAAATCCCAGATTCTGGTCATTCAATCGGATGAGTCGCGCAGACAGACCGCCAACGTGGAGGCTTGCTACGATAAGCTCCACCAGGTCCTCAAGAGCATAGCAGAGGACACGATCCCCGGAGAGACCTCGCAAGAACAACGTGACAAGGTACAAAAATTGTATGTATTTCCTCCTCGGGGTATTTAGGATCCACTTTGAGGAACATGCGAACCTCGGACTGATCTAGCGCAGAAAGAAAGCTGCAAACGAAGCCCGCATCAAGTCGAAGAAATTGCACAGCAGCAAAAAGAGCAGCCGACGGGGTAGTTATGACGACTAACAAACATGCTAACTTTTCATCACCTAATAACCAAGAGGACCTTTCCCTCATTCTCATTGCCCATTAAGCTTGCGACGGAAAAAGCCCGATAAACGCCGATGAATGATTTAGTAAAAAATGTAAGCTCTATGCTTCCTGTACAGTGCGTTCCGCATTACGGATAGTGGCCGAAATCGCCTTTTGGAGGGAGGCATCCACGCCTTCTGTCTTCTCAAGGGGCTGTAGCCAGCTGACGATCTCCTTGGCGACGTTGGGGTTATTCCGGTACTCCTTGAGACGGGCAAATGACGCACTAAACGCACGTGGGAATTCGGGTGAAGTAACCCGGAGTCCAGCGGTGGGGAATTTGATGTAGCAAATTTGCGTATGAGGACTGTTTGGCTTGGTCTGCTGCATCACGTCGACCACATGGCCGAGAATTTTGTGCAGACAGGGCAGGTCGTCGAACTCGACCGCCATATCGTAGAACTCATGACCGAAACGGTCGTCATTTTCGAAGTTCTTCATGGCCGTATCGAAGATGGCGAGAGGGATAGCACCACTCAGGGCTGGGGTGTTGGCAAGGTTGTCCAAAGCCACTTGATCCACACCGCCATCCTCTCCAGCGCCGGGGTTGATATCTTCTCCAGTGATCTTGGGCATAGCAATCATGTCGGCATCTAAATCGTCCTCCTGCGCTGGCTTCGGGGCTTCGATCGGCTTATCGAGACCCAAGATCCGCTGTCGAGCAACCAGCTTGGCGATATATATCAATTCCAGTTTGGCATAGTGGAGCCACAGCTTCTTGGAGCTTTTGCAGAAGCGCAAACCGCGCTGCATGTAACCCCTAGATTGTGTCATATCCGCATGCTCATCCACAGAGTACTGCGCAGCATATAGCCACAAGTCGACGTTGGCGGGATGTAACCGCAAGGCGTCCGTAAGGATGGTCGAGACCTTTTTGTAGGCTTTCTGTTGTTTCGCGTATTCGAGGTACTGCACCCACAAGCCCACATCACCATGAAACTTGCGAGTTGCGCGGTCAAGGATGAAGAAGATGCGCCTTTGCCCAGTGTATCCTGCCGATCTGATTCCCAACCGCTTCACCCTCTTCCGGCGCAGGGTGTCTAGGTTCATCTCGTATTGCGCATATCGGACGAAGTCAACAGGCAGGGCGCCACGTGCATTCAGCTTGTGCTCAAAATCGGACCGTTTCTTGATGATGGCTGTAATTTCCTCCTGCAGGCAGATCAAACGGCATGTCAGTTTCCTAAGCGCATCGATGTGGGTAGATAATGATCATGGGCACCAATTTACCTTGGAGAAGATTTTCTTCCGCTCAAACTCCTTGAGCTCAGGGACCGACTTCTCCAGAAAGAAGCGTGCCTTATCGGTAGCGGCTGACATGATTGCTCTGGAAGGGTTCAGCAAGCAGCGACTACAGCAGTTCCTTTGCAACCCAGAAATCCAGCCAGAACCAGACGATAGGCAAAAAAAGTTGTCGGCATCCCGCACGAGATCTCCGCCCAGGGACCTGGCCGCCTGCCTGATCGGGGCTAGTGGCTGGAGCGCGCCGCCCGCGTGTTGCCGAGCCTCGCTCCGAAGGTCATCCCATCATCTTGTCTCTCACCTTCAGGGGAATCTTGGGCTTCTCGCTGTCGGGATTCTTTGTACGACCCGCTCTTTCGCTTTTTCTTTTCCCTTCTTATTTCGTTTCTCTTTCGTTGACGCTCATTTTGATCCCCCTTAGTCTGTTTTTATTTTAGCTTATTCTTCTAATTGGCCGGAGTCCGTGCTCGGTGCCTCCCTGTGCTGCCATGGCACCCAGATATAAAGATGGGGATGCCGTTGTGGCGGTTAGTGTCTCTGCACTTCGCGGTTTGTCAAGCTAATTGACCATCTCTCAGGTCAATGGAAAATGGATCTCTTGGGCGCATACGGCAGTGGCCTACACGGCCTTCTTCAGTGCCCTGGTAGTGGGAATGTCCTTGCACTTCCACAAGATTGTCCAGAACGAACACTACGGCTACCCTGATGAATGGTTCCCTTCCGTGTCGGCCACTATCGGTGATCGCTACCCTGAACGCTCTTTCTTCCAAGTCTTCATTGCCATTACTTCCGGCCCTCGTTTCGCCCTCGTCTTCCTTTGGTACCTCCTGACTGCCCGCCCCAATTCCGCCCTACCAAAGCTGGTTGCTGGTGTGGGCTTGTTCCGGACATTCACGTGTGGAGGCTGGACTTATGTTACTTCGACTGATGATCACGATTGGCACGACATTTTCATGATCTCGTACCTGGTGGCAACCTTGCCCTGGACTCTCGGCTGCCTCGCCCTCAGCCCGAACAACCGCCGCGCTGTCAAGTACCGCAAGATCTTGGCCAGTCTGTTCTTCGGCACTCTGGTGCCCTTGATCTACTACTTCATCCAACACAAAGTGCACAAGGTTCCTGGGGGTAAGATTGCATGGACGCCGCTGCTGTGGATGACATTGTTGACCTTTGGCTAGCTTACACGAGATACGCCTTCTTCGAGTGGTCGCTTATTTTGTTTGATGTGGGATTCGATGCCGTTACAGCTTTTGACTTTGACGCATTCGAGATTGTTGTAAGGGATGTCAAGGGGGTTAGCAGAGGGTATGTACACTGGCTTCCAAAGTAAAGCAGAGCAAGAGAGGAAAATGTACAGTCGCCAAAAGATGGTTGTCGGTATTTGAAAGACGTGATCTAAGATTTCAAACTTCCAGGCAGTTGAAGACCACTGCGGACTCTGTCCTTGAAAAGGAGTGTGTACAATCTGTTCTCCAGACTTAACACGAACATGGCAGTTAACTCGTAGTCAGGAAGGGCAAGCCCGTCGGAAACACGTTTGGCGAGGGCTTTTTCTGGTCTGAAATCATCGATGCTGCTGCAGACGTCTACAATGGGGTACGCTTCAAACTGGGCTTTCCCTCCAATTTATGTGGTTGCTGATAAGTTGTAGTTCGTCTTCTGGACCCTCTGCACTGCCCTCCCTGTTCTCGTCTGGTGTAAGTAGTACGTCTTTTATCTGCAGGATCGCTTGTCTGATTGGATGTAGACTTTCCCCTTTGGCATATGGGTATCTCCGGATATGAGGCGGCCATTGTCTGCTACCTTTCGCCCTTGCTCCTCGGTATCCCGGCCATCAAATCTGCGGCCATTAAGAACCCCCGCCTTTTCCACCTGCTCTCGCTGTCCGGACTCCTGGCATATAAGGTGCAAGACCCTGCCAACCGCCTCTTTGTTATGGGCTTCGCCGTTATCTGCAGCTGCGTGACCTGGTCCGCTAGCTTATATGCAGAGAGAGCAAACAACGTCAGACTGGAGTCCCGTATCCTCTCTTGGAGCATCGGTTTGATTATGTCTAGCGTCGCCAAGTTCGCATGCGCAACAAACAACCCTTTGTGGCCAATCATGCACGCCCAGAACGGTGGATGGAATAAGATTGGACTTCTTCTCGCTGTCCTGGCTGTCCTTCGTTCCTACCGTAGACCTGCCACGAGTGGAGGAGATTATCTGCCGTCAAGTGGCAAGAAGGGCTCTCCGTTCTTGGCCGGTCTGGGTGTTGGAGGCGTGATGTTCGCCATGCACTACCTTCTGTCGGATTCTAGTACGATGATGTCTTGGGTCTGGGACGGATATCCGGTACGAGGCCCTATCGCGGCTCCCCACGGTGCCGTTACAATCTTTACTATGGGTGCTGGTCTCGTCTACGGCCTCTTTTATCCTTCCGTGGCTGGTAGTTGGACAGCGTTCGGACTTGGCTCTCTGGGTGCCACATTCCTTACTTGCTACAGTCACTGGACCGGATACTATGGCGGTCTTGTCCTCGCATTCTACCTCCTGGCCGTGACTCCTGTCCTCCTTTCCTCGGCCGTCAGACATTCTCCTGCATCTACCTTCGGCGTGGGCTGCATCTTGTACATCTTCTTGATCCTGTTCCACGTTTGGGTTGTTGCTTATGCCTTTGTCCCTGGTGGGTACCTCGTCAGAGAGCACACGGATTGGGTCGTGATCACCATCATGTTGTCCATTGGCGCTGGTGTCTTTTCGGCTGGGGTGTCGAATGCATCCAGCCCGAAGCCCAAGGCCGTCAGCCCTAACGGCAGAAGACAGCGGTCATACTTCATCTACGTCCTTGCAGTCCTGCAACTGCTCTCCGTTTCCATCGCGTATCTTCGCTTCCCCACCAATGACTACACCCCTTATCACAAGGACGACAAAGTTGCCACCCTTGGCATTTGGACGATCCACTTCGGCCTTGATAACGATATGTGGGCATCTGAGCGGCGCATGCGCGATGTAATCCAGGAGCTTGAGCTTGATGTGATCGGCTTGCTTGAATCAGACAACCAGCGCATCATCATGGGCAACCGTGATGTTACGCAGTTCTTGGCAGACGACCTGGGAATGTACGCGGACTTTGGGCCGGGTCCCAACAAACACACCTGGGGCTCGGCTTTGCTCTCCAAGTTCCCGATTGTCAACTCCACCCATCACCTACTCCCTTCACCGGTTGGTGAGCTTGCTCCGGCCATCCACGCCACTTTGGACATGTATGGCGAGCTTGTTGATGTTGTGGTCTTCCATTCGGGTCAGGAGGAGGATCCGGAAGACCGTCGTCTGCAAACGGAGTACTTGTCCAACCTGATGGGCTCGTCGTCTCGTCCGATGGTGCTGCTGAGTTACTTGGTCACCAAACCGCTTGAGGGCAACTACAACACCTATGTCAGTGATATCAGCGGCATGAAGGACATTGACCCCACGGACTGGGACCGTTGGTGCGAGTACATTTTGTATAAGAAGTTGAAGAGAACAGGCTACGCCAGAGTTAGCCGTGACTCGATCACCGACACTGAAATCCAGGTATGCTCCTTTGGCCTAGCTGACTTCCACAGTTCTTTCCTCTAACCAGCTATTCTTGATAGGTTGGTAAATTTGTGATTGGCGAGCCGGAACCGGAAAATGAAATGCGTATCCCTGAGGAAATGGTCCCCGAAGGCCGTCGATTCCCTACATTGTTCCGCGGCCAGGGAGTTCGTGGTCATCGGTACCACGTCTTTGACGAGCCCCGATACTGGCAATGATTGTTAGCTCTTGATTTAAGGGGCGCACACCATTCCAGATACCTTTGAGCAACGTCGAATGTCTTTCATATACTGTTCTTGAGTATAGTTCATACGACGAGCATACCAGCATTGCGTGGCCAACTGCCCGTGGTGATCATATGTGGTCTTTTTAAAATCGTACATAATGTCATCTTTCCCTTATTGTTCTATTCAAAGTTGAAGGTGTGCAATAGATCTGCAGCGAAGGTGTACTGTGAAGTGCTGTCACGGACTGGTCTCGGGGACGACGGGGTCACGCTCCGCCTGCTGTTGGGCTGCTTGTAAACTCAGTAGTAGATGGGGATGGCAGGAGCTGAGGGGTGGCCCTGGTTTCGTGCCTGCCCCTCGTTCTGTGGAACGTAAACTAGGACTAACCTTCACTTTCAGTGCATCCTTGACTGGGCTGTGGAATGCGAAATCGCCAATTAAGCATGTTCGCCAGGTCGATGTGACATAATCTATATGACAAGGTACGCGATGCTGGAGATTTTCCACAGTTCATGAACATCTGAGCTGATCAGCTGCACATATTATCATTGTTCTCTTGATGGTCTCTGCTGGAGCAGGTACCCTTGCAAGAGGATATAGGTCAGTCACGTCATAAGGGTCAGATCCGAGCTGATACCAGCCGTATCGAATCATTGCCCTGGACTAGTACCACCCGAGCACAATTGCAAAGTACAGAGTACATCCCACCAGAACCAGATCGTTTGACTCGGTTCCCAGGAAGCTCGATCAACACTCGAGCTACCCACAAAAGAACATTCCAACGACAATAGAAAGTAACGCTGAGGCAAGTAAGCACTTTCCATTGCTAGTTTTCCAGTTATTCGGTATCAGCAGCGCTAGGAATTTTCCGAGGAATGTACGGAGTACTTTCACTTTCTTTGTTGGTCTTCGTCCCAGTTTTGCCTCCCCTAGATGGAGGTAGTTTGACTTCAATCAGGCAACAATGAAAGAAAAGAAGGGAATTTCTTCGATTATCTTCTAGGGCGGAAATGTGTTGAAAATGTCCATCGGAAAGGCCAGGGGACATCTGACAGGTGTGATGAGGGCCATGCAGAGGCGATGTTCGTCGTTCGTTTTCGCTGTCCTCGCGGGCTTCCCCGTCCCTATGCGTTGTATGCTCAGCGAACCTTAAAAGTGTTGGATTCTCTTCGGACAGAACTGACTAACTAACCAACAGCACACTCTTGCGGGAGACTAGATCCTTTCAGTTCGAAGATTGTATCAGAGTGCATGAGTGCCTCTGCTCGGACTTGGACGAGTCTACGGAGGTTTAGGTAGGTTTAGCATCGTTGGCTTTGTTACTGACAATGCTGACGCGGGCGTATGGGTCTTTCACTTTGCGATTGCTGCCTCGTGGAAAGTGCTTGTTGATGCTTTATGGGACAAAGAAGCCATCAACAAAGGCACAGAGGCATACTTTGCGTCTATTCTATTTTTGTTGAATCAGTTACTTCAATCGATATAGGTGAAAGGAAGCTCATTCGAAACCTAGCGTGAATGAATCCCTTCGACAATGCAAGTTGTCCCCGATATATTTGACTACATCGCTCTGGACGGAGTGCCCAGGCTGACCATTTCTTTTTTCAAGTCATCCTGAGCTTACAACCATTTGGTATCGCATCCCGAGAAATTTTGTATTACGAGGTGTACTTCCAGTGTGTACTCGAGCATATACTTTTGTCCAAGCTATCCATATCCGCCACTCATCAACTCAACAAGCAATGTCTGGAGAACCCGGCAAGCGGCCCAAGGCTGCGTCGCGAAAGACTTCCCTTGACTCGAACCCACCAGGGGACCAACATGTTGAGTTTGTCAATGCGGAAAATGAAACCCCGTCAAGTGGTGTTGGGAGGCTTTCGGCAGGACGGGGAGCCATCTTGGCCAATGCTGCCAGAGAGTTGCAGGATGTCGCTGCTAGGCAATCAGTTGGCCATACGAGCAACAGGCCCCAACCACCACATCTGGGGACGCGAAGATCTCGACAATATGAAGAACCAGCCGTCCCGCAAACGTGGGCAATAGGATCTAAGGGCAAGCAGCATCATCGACAAATGCCCGCTCCTAAGATGGTAGCACCGACTCAATCTGGCACAGGTGATGGCTATACTTATAGTTCATATAAGCGGCCGCCTTTATTCACGCAGGCCCCCAAGAATAAGGTCCATCGGCCAAAGTCCCCTACTGACGGGCACAGTCAATTCCTAACAAGAACGTTGGATATGTTCAACAGCCGTAACGAGCCGCCTGCAGTGGAAATAGATCCAAGCCACGAAATAGACATGCCACCGACTCAGTACATGGCCCAGGAACCACCCTTCAGCGTGGATGATGGTGGAATCTCGAATCATGGTGAGTGTAAATGGATTTGGATTATTGTCACTTTACTTGTGTTGAGCATGTTCCTATGCCTCTTTCTGTACGTGTTCAAGGTTATTAGATGATGTAATGTATGTCTTGTCAGGGCGGCCTAAGTCGTTATAAGCAAACCTGTTTGGCGATATATACTGGCTGTCTTCTCAGATATTGCGGCTCCCGGGAAGGATTTGCTCGCATTCTTCATGTATCCCTTGCGTTATACATTCCCGAACTCTTTCCGATGTGCTGATTCTGGCCATGTGCTTAGGTCACGGGGGTGGATTGGCAGTCTACGAACCATATAACCCAGCCTTACATCCTTACCCGCCCCCTGACCCCCAGGGGTATGGATCTGGAGTACCGCATAGAGGTAAGGGTACCATCGACTTCTCCTTCTGAAAGTGTTGAAGTGCCCGGCTGACGAGAAATCCAGTGCCGCCAGGAGATGCGCCACACAGAATAGCAAGACAAGGTGCGAAGGCCCTAGCGAGGGAAAGACCCAGACAGCTACGGCAAAGTCTAGCGGAGCCGGGAGTACTCACTGGGGTTTTAGACGTAGCACCGAAACTGGCCACACAGCTGCTACAAAAAACGGTTGATGGTGAAGAACTCTTAGCGATACAAGACGCTCGAGTCCACCCACCACCATGGACAGCATGGCGAAACACAGCAGGGCCACATACCGAACTATACCCATCTTTGGGAGACCCGATGCCCGAGACAAGAGGACAACAAGGTCAGATTAACGGGAAGAAAGCTGGCTCACGGAAGAGCCAACCTGTTCAGGCACCACCTATTCCAAAAATAAGTTCCAAGGTAAATGACAGCCAGAAATACATGGATGAGCAATACAAGGAGTTTTACCCTGAAAATATACTTCACCTAATGAGAGGATACGGCGGAGGAAGTCCAAGCAGTTTGAATACCGCTTTGACTCCTAGTCAGCTTGAGCGGATACCTAGGGCTCCGCCTTTGCTACACCAGACTGCGCCAGCACAAGTGGAACCAGCGAAGAAAGGAGAAGCGAAAGGTTCGAAGAGGAAGAGGGCTACAGAACCGGAGGAATCGGAAACACCAGCACGCTCAGCATCACCAAAACGCTCAGCACCCCCAGTACGTTCAGCACGGTCACCAACATCAGCAGGACCTGCAGTAGGGGAAGCAGCACCGGCATGCTCAGCAGCACCAAAAAGCTCAGCAGCACCAAAAGGCTCAGCAGCACCGGCATGCTCAGCAGCACCAAAAAGCTCAGCAGCACCAAAAGGTTCAGCAGCACCAAAAGGTTCAGCAGCACCAAAAGGTTCAGCAGCACCAAAAGGTTCAGCAGCACCGAAAGGCTCAGCAGCACCAAAAGGTTCAGCAGCACCAAAAGGCTCAGCAGCACCAAAAGGCTCAGCAGCACCGAAACGCTCAGCACCGCCTGTAGCAGGGGAAGCAGAACCAGCATCGCCACCACGGCGGATGCAAACGCGAGCCATGACCAGGTGCCGTGAGAAAGAGGGTGCGAAAGCAACTAAGAAAGGTTGAAGTTGAAACGAATGGGAAAAGGCATATGTCATCGTGTACTTAGCAGATTCTTGTAGCTTTATTCACTTTGCTTGTTAATATATGTTCTCTGTATATTTCGACGATAGTACTATACAAATGATCTGCGATCCTAATTACCCGATAAAGAGGGTATTGCAAACCAGACAAACAAGACCCGTGATGTGATGCTGCTTTGTGTCTGCCGATGTCGACCAAACAATCATCGGCATCAGCATCCTTCGCAGTCAGCCATTGCTCCATATCAGTGATTGCTGCTCAATAGGCTGGATATGTTACGATAATCGCCAACTGGTCGCGCTTCTGTTCGTCGTTACTCCGCCTGGATCGATGAGCTAAGTGAGAGCGCTTCCCGAGTGTCCGCGACAGCATCATCTGCAGCTCTCCTGGGATCGCCGCGCTCGAGAATCTCCAAGCCAAGATGTTCACCTTTACCCCTCTTCTCGGCGCACAGTCTGCGTCATCAAAGGCTTCACAATCGATCCTCGAGCTTGATGGAGGAATCAAGATCCTTGTGGACGTCGGTTGGGATGACACCTTCGATCCTCTCGACCTGCAGGAACTCGAAAAGTGAGCTCCCACTGCAGTCCTTGTATATCTATCGGAGGGGTCGATTTTCTGATATAATAATGCTAGACATGTCCCGACCTTGTCGCTCATTCTTCTAACCCACGCTACACCCGCTCATATTGGTGCCTTTGCCCATTGTTGCAAGACCTTCCCTCTCTTCACGCAAATTCCCGTCTACGCTACGAGTCCCGTCATTGCGCTCGGTCGCACGTTGCTACAGGATTTATACGCCTCTTCTCCGCTGGCCGCAACATTCTTACCCAAGGCGTCGATCTCCGAGCCCGGAGCTTCCACGGCTGCAGCTTCAGCCGCTGCGTCGGTGGCCGAAGGCGACGAAAGCACCGAAGCTACTCATGCCGGGCGCATCCTCCTCCAACCTCCTACCGCCGAAGAAATCGCCCGGTACTTCTCTTTGATACACCCGTTGAAATACTCACAACCACACCAACCGCTTCCGTCACCATTCTCCCCGCCCTTGAACGGCCTTACGCTGACCGCATACAATGCTGGACACACCGTTGGTGGTACGATATGGCATATACAACATGGCATGGAGTCAATTGTCTACGCGGTCGACTGGAACCAAGCTCGAGAAAGCGTTGTCGCGGGCGCTGCCTGGTTTGGAGGCTCCGGTGCCAGTGGAACGGAGGTCATCGAGCAGCTGCGCAAACCTACGGCGCTGGTATGCAGTACTAGGGGAGGTGAACGCTTCGCGCTGCCCGGAGGCAGGAAGAAGCGGGATGACTTGCTGCTGGACATGATCCGGAGCACCATCGCCAAGGGTGGCACAGTGCTGATTCCTACGGATACCAGCGCTCGCGTGCTGGAGCTGGCTTATGCGCTGGAACATGCCTGGCGCGATGCGGCAGGCTCTGGCCAGGGCGATGATGTACTGAAAGGAGCCGGGCTATACCTGGCCGGTCGGAAAGCTAATACTACGATGCGACTGGCAAGGAGTATGTTGGAGTGGATGGACGAAAATATCGTGCGAGAGTTTGAGGCTGCTGAGGGTGTGGATGCAGCGACTGGCCAGTCGAATACAGAAGGGCAACGGGCAGGTCAGAATCAAGGCAAGACAGAAGGAAAGGGCGTGGGACCTTTTACGTTCAAGCATCTCCGAATTTTGGAACGCAAGAAGCGATTAGAGAAGATCCTGTCCGACCAAAAGCCCAAGGTAATTCTGGCTTCCGATACGTCGCTGGATTGGGGATTCGCGAAGGACTCTCTACGTCTGGTGGCGGAAGGTGCCAACAACCTACTGCTCTTGACGGAGCCTCTGCACAAGGAGAGGATCACGGAGGGCCAGGAGAGCACCCACAGGAAGACACTCGGCAGTATGATCTGGCAGTGGTATGAAGAACGAAAGGATGGCGTTGCTCTGGAAAAGGCATCGGACGGCGAGATGCTGGAGCAGGTGCACAGCGGAGGCCGGGATCTCTCCTGGACGGATGTGCGACGTGCGCCTCTGGACGCAGGCGAGCAGCTGCTTTACCAGCAGTATCTGGCCACGAAACGACAACTTCAAGATACCTCTCAAGCAAGAGGACAGGAAAACCTTGATAATGCCGCCGACGCGCTCGACGACCGGTCAAGCTCTACATCAGAAGACTCGGAGACGGAACAACAGGGCCGCGTCCTGAATTTCTCCACCTCGTTAGCACACTCCAACCGCAACAAACTCGGCCTCAGCGATGAAGACCTTGGCGTCAACATTCTTCTACGGCGTAAGAATGTCTACGACTACGATGTACGAGGCAAGAAAGGTCGCGAGCGCATGTTTCCGTATGTGGCACCCCGAAAAAAGGGGGACGAGTTTGGCGAGTTCATCCGGCCTGAGGAGTACCTCCGTGCTGAGGAACGCGAGGAGGCCGACATGCAGCAGCGCCGGACCGACTCCCAGACCAAGCTGGGGCAGAAACGTCGATGGGACGAAACAGCGCCCCATGGACGTCGACTGTCGGGCAGTGGTGCCAAACGCCAAGCGCTTGGAGATGCGCAGAAACGGGATGTCAGCACTGCTGACGAACTGAGCCTCGCCGAAGATGGCGAGGTGGATGCCGCGGTATCTTCGGAGGATGAGGTGGAGGGACAGAGCTTTGAGGGGCCAGCGAAGGCAGTATACGAGAAGGCTACGCTGACCATAAATGCTCGGCTGGCATACGTGGACTTTACGGGACTACACGACAAGCGCAGTCTGGAGATGCTCATCCCGCTCATCCAGCCCCGGAAGCTGATCCTGGTTGGGGGTATGAAACAGGAGACGACCGCGTTGGCGACCGAATGCCAGAAGCTCCTGGCAGCCAAATCCGGAATGGACGTTTCGGCCGCAGACTCGGCAGTCATCTTCACGCCGGTCAACGGCGAGGTTGTTGACGCCAGCGTCGACACCAACGCATGGATGGTCAAGCTGAGCAACAACTTGGTCCGGCGTTTGAAGTGGCAGCACGTACGCAGCCTGGGAGTGGTCACGCTCACGGCGCAGTTGCGGGGGCCGGAACAGGCCGTCCTGGAGGACTCCACGGAAGAGAACCCCAGCAAGAAGCCAAAGCTGTTGGAAGAGGAGAAGAAGGAAGAAGGAGGTAGCACCGAGGTCGCGACGAACGCACCACCAGAGGGGGCCAAACCATCAGCTGACAAGTCTGAGGTGTACCCACTGCTGGATGTGCTGCCGGTCAACATGGCGGCGGGAACGCGATCCATGACCCGGCCGCTCCATGTGGGCGACCTGCGGCTGGCAGATTTGCGCAAGATCATGCAAGGGGCCGGACACACGGCGGAATTCAGGGGCGAGGGAACGCTCCTTATCGATGGGATGGTGGCAGTGCGGAAGTCGGCGACGGGGCGGATTGAGATTGAAGCATCGGCGCAGTCTGCGGCGGCGACGAACCTGGGACGAGGAGGAGGGAGCTTCTTGGCTGTGAAGCAGAAGATTTATGAAGGATTGGCTGTTGTGTCGGGGAGTTAGCTGCAGCTGCAACGAACCGGTTCGTCTCGATGTTGGATTATACCAACCAAGTAGATCAAATAAGACATAAGGTAGTACTCTACCCACTATCCTTACCTATGAAAATGTAGTATATGATATATGCCATGGACTTTTGGCCCGTCAGCGAAATCCTCCGAATAGCCCTGTGTAATCTAGCCCCCATAAGCTGAGCATGCAGGTAAGTATACCGGGAGTCAGCATTGTAAATCAATGGCACTCATCACACCATCATACTTGGTAGTATAGTAGAACACAACCGTGCACTACTAATACATATCTATCTACTCCGTAAGTCTATCATTTAGCTACTATAAATGGATATAATATGTCTTAGTCCTATCAAGCCACATTCCTGCCTATGTTATTTTACCCCTTTTCCTGCCCCAGATCCCGAAGTAAATCAATAGTCGCGGGAGGTGTTTCTGGAAGGGCTAGGTCTATGATCTAGGTAAGGCCAGACCAGGGGGAGGCGGGAACTAGTTGTGTCAGATGGTGATAGTGTAGTTTTTGTGGGAGGAGTCTAGATTGTATATGTAGATATTTTTGGTAGATGCTATACTCTGTATACTTTGTAGTGAGTACATGGAATGTCTAGTAGTATGCTCTGGGTGAAACAGGGGGAGTTAGTACTATCATCTATCTACTTAGTCTAGATTTGGTGTGGTGGTCGGTAATATACCTAGTAGTTGGGTTTGTTCCTGGATTTAATTAACCAGTACTAAGTAACTGTATATGTTGGGAGTCGTGTTAGTGATTATTTTCTAGCCTGAGGTATCTATCTATCTATCTATCCAGTTAAGTAAGTACTGAATATTACTCACCATGAGATCAATCTGTCTCAGATGTCAGCTTCACAGTAGCTCAACTAGTATTGGAAGTGGAACCTGCCATTCCTTGATTGCCAGCAGGAGCAAACAGGAATACTTGTCTTACAGGTACTCTGCAAGTAACTCTGTAAAAAAGACAGCAAGATCGTGATCCCAACCACCAACAGTAATCAGTACCTCCATCCATCCGTGAATAACTATCCATCAAGGCAACAATAAACGAGAGAGGCAGGGTTCCC